CTATTAAGTCTTTTTCCTTCTTCAAGGTGGGCATAGCAAACGTATGCGTTTCTATTCGATATTACACCTGTACCGGTGTTGGTATATTATGTTCTCAGAATCGTACTCGACATCTACGAGAGTCCCTCGGAGACTATTGTCCGTCTGACAATTTTTCTTTTTAATTAATAGGATCCCACGCCGCCCGACGATTGTTCGAAAAATACTTGTAAGAGACGCTGATGAAAACCTAGGAGGTCTCGTCTGGACAAAGATTATAGAAACAAAGTGTTTATTTATGGGGAAATCTAGAAAGGCGAATGGATAAAGTGATGATGGAGATGGATAAAGTAATGTTTTTAAACACTAAGGTAATTTAAAAAGTAAAAAATAAGTTACAAAACTAGTAGGGTGTATAGCATCGTGCCTTGGCAAATTTGATGGAACTTCCCGTACCGTAACAAAATGTTCGAGGAATATTAAATGTTTTCAAATAGATTATTATAAATATTGTAACATTATCTAATATTTCCAAAAGTCTAAATTGCAAAGTTAAAATTATTCGTTTAAAGTATTTTCTGAGGTATGCCAAAATGTTCAGAAACCTTCAAAACGTCGAGAAATGCAAAAATTTTCAATTTCGATTTTGGACGACGATTACAAAACTTACGCTACGGGAAGATAATTACCCTATGGGAAGTTAATATACGTATTATTGTTAGAATAATATAAGTAGATATCTGTATAAAAAAGCAGATTATTTCGAAAATATAATGAAATATAAACATAGACGCTCAATGCAATTTGTAAATTACAAGATTTCTGTATTATATAAAATTAAATTATTATTATTTGTATTTATAGCAATTAGAACATAATTACATTCTATGAGTTATTTGATTTACATTAATTAATTACAATTATAAATAGTAGCTACCCCAAAGTGTAATTACTATTACATACAATTTATTGGATCAAGTTAATGGGCCATAAATAGAAATTAAAAACGAAATTTATACTTAGGGGGCGTCCATTAATTTCTTGAGCGGGTTTTAAGGATTTTTGACCCCCTCTCCCCTTGGTGATATTCAAAATTACCCCCCCTCCCATCGAACATCACGTGTATTTTTAATTATGTGATAAAACTGTATAATTTGATTTTTTTTTTTTGAAAATGTTTGAATTTTTTTTAAAAAAATTAGTTTAAAAATAAATGCACGTGATATATTACTGTACCCTCCCTCCCCCACGTGATATTTCGTGATTTTTTGTCAAATCCTCCCCCCCCTAAAAACCTCACGTGATTAATGGACGCCCCCTGATTATTAATATCTTTATAAAATATCTGATAATTTGATGTGCATATGTGTCATGATGATTTTTGTCCGAAGCTGCTAGACCTGATTTCCAAAAATTTAATCAGCAATTATATTGTTTTATAAACAAAGGTTTTGTTTTCAAGGAATTAAAGTCAATAACGTTTCCTAACTCTGGATTTGATAGCTTTGATTTTTGTCGTGATGTGGTGTTTCCATGTTAGTCTGCGGTCTAGATAAATACCCCCCTCCCCCCATCAATATTCTCTGATCACAAAATGTACTCAAAGACAACAATAAATCAAACATATATAACAATTATGCTATTGGGATGACAATTTATCAATATGTATCTATACAAGTGAAACTTTTGAATATTCCATCTACTTTTGTCATTCGTCGTTATTAAATCGCAAGGGCGTTCAATTCAGAAACATTTTTCTATTGTGTTCGAAATTAAATCATTATATCGACCGCATAAAATGCGACTTTTTCATTGAAAATGCGGAGTGACGCGTGACAAGAGGTGTGCCGGAGTGATTGCAGAATAATGGACTGCGTGTCATTTGCAAAAACTCTTTACTTGGACGGGAACGCCTACTCGATTAACAAAACTGTGCGACATCAATTCATTACGAGGCAGATGAATTAGAAAATTGCTATTTTGAAATGACATATATGACGGAGGAATTGTTAAATGATTAATTTTATGCTCATGAAATCAGCCCATAATAATTTCGTTCTAACTAGGTGTAAGTGGCAGTTTAAGTTAGGTGACCTATTTTTAAAAAGTTGAAACCGGGACGGAAACTTTTAGTTATGCTAATCCGGTACGGGGGTGGGGGCTTCGGATAAATTCAAAATTAGCGCTCGAAAACAAAATCTTGATTATAATACAATACTAATTCCTATCTGGTCGTACGGAATAGAGTTTTGGGGCTTCTCTAGCAAATCTAATGTAGCATTGGTACAGCGGACCTCAATCAAAACTACTTAGAATGTTGCTAGGTGCACCCTGGTAGCTGAGCAATAGAACCCTGCATGGTGATCTGATTGTACTAATTTCTTACTAATTAGAGACTTTATAACAACAATATCCACTAATTATCAACACAAATTAGAAAATCGTTATTACGCTGCTCCTTAGACCAGAATTAAGAAGACGGACAAAAGAACTGATTAAATTTTTGGGAAGCAGGTCCAACAGTTTCTAAATCTAAAGATTTTTTTTTTAAATGCCATTAGCGAGCAAAAATAATCATAGGACATATGCATATCAAATTACTAGATATTTATGAAGATTTTAATAATAAGTATAAAGTTTGCTTTCAATTTCTAATTATGGCCAATTAACTGGATCCAATAAATCAATATCTACATCTAAAAACAATTTATAATTGTTTTGAATTAATGTAAATCAAAATAACTCATAGAATGTAATTAATGTGCTGATTGTTATTAAATAATAATAATAATAATTTTAAATAATACGAAAAATCTATGTCATTTACAAATTGCATTGAGCATCAACTCCTCTTCCAGTACTATAAGTAACGCAGCCGTTTGCTACTCCACCGTATTCCCCGGTGGGCGTTTTCTGATTGTATTCTTATTGGATGTTACTCTATTTGCTCGTCGGGCGCAAAAAAAAACTTATAAAAGCTGTCATACGCACGAACCAGGAAAATTGTATGAAAGAAGTCAAGTCACTGTGTGCAATATTGTTCATTATTCAATTTAATCAAGCTGGGAAAAAGTTACCAAAGTTGCCACAGTTACGGTTTTCTTAAGCTTTTGTATCGGTTATTTTTGTAAAGGGATCAGAAGGGAGTAATAAAATTATGTTAGTATAATTATATTTGTGACTTAGATATAGAGACCAAAATTAACCAAAATAGCCGAACTGATTGTCTACTAATCAAAATGGTTAGAGTTTCACGAAAGCTCGAGAGTGCACGTGAAAGCTCAAAATTTTGAAATTACAAGGAACAATTTTGTTTCTATTTTTTCATGATAATTACGATCAATTCTATCACGTTCAGAAACACCCTATAAACTGTATGTAACTTTTCAAGGCTAAATGAAGAAACAATTATAGTAAATATGTTTATGTTTGGTACCTTCATTATTTTGGTAACGATATCTTTCGTATTCAATACAGGTTCATACCATGTGTCTAATGCCATCTATATGTGTCTAATATGTATTTGTCGTGAAATGTATCAGTACGAAATGTTTTACATAACTATTATGATTTATAGAACAAAAATTTCTCAGAATGTTGTTATATAATAATCATTTACCCCTATATAAAGAATGTTATTACGATAACATAAATCTTTTCCTCCACTAACCTGTATCCTATCCTCTGGTAAATCAGTCTTCAACGATAGCATTTCTCTGGCATACACGTCTGGGTAATGTGCTTCCTTGAACGCCTTTTCCAGCTCGTCCAACTGAAACGAAGTGAAAATAGTCCTGCCGCAAAAGCGTGCAAATCGTCGAAAAAGCGGCAATACAAACGTATGAAAATGTCATACGCGGTAAGAAAAACGCATTCGAGCGTATCGCACGCGAATTGAGACAGGACCAACTAGGGTAGACCAACGAATAACAACACAATTATATACGATAGATAGAAATAAATATACTTATTGATTTATATGTTTAAAAAATTTGGCGTATTTGCCATACAATCTATTTCTTTAATAATTGACCAAGTGCCCGGATGTTGAATTTGTCGTGATTCCTACATTTAAGGTAAAAATTCTCAGTGAGTTTCATTAGTGAGTCATGTCTTTATATGGATATCTCGATATGTCTAGTACTAGTGTTAGTGCCTTGTTCTGTATTGTCTGTAGTTTTTATGTCTAGTACTAGTCTTAGTGTAATAATTAGTGCCTTGTTCTGTGTTGTCTGTAATTCGGCATGACAAGTCAAAGTCTCTTGATCTGGATGTAGTTTGGCACGTGCATAAATCTCTTCTCACAGTATATTAAAGCCGTAATAATATCATATATTGTTAAACTAATATAGATTTTTTTGGTAAATAATAGTTATAAATGCGTATTTATATAGTTCGCACTGATTTATTCTATATTCGGAATTATAGTCCTGAATTATTTTTTTAGAAGAATCATATTAAATGAGATACATTATTTCTTCATGATAATTAAGTATAAACTTGCTTTGAATATAAACATATTAAACCTTACAATTTGTATGAATATAAATGAAAGCATTCATATATTTCTGAATTTTGTATTATTTCGTTTTCAGGACGATAACTTTTTGAATTGAGTTTTAACATTTCTGAAGAATAATATAATATTGTTGAATCTACTGAACATTTTTACATTTGCACGGTAATAATATATAATAACTACAAGCATCACCATTTTTATCGAAAGGTTTCTGTAGTAACTGCTTTAAAATATCAAAATCACTTCAGAATTCATTATGACTTTGTAATATATTGTAAAAAATGAACGCTTTATGTGTAAAATTGCCTGAAATCTAGCTTTACAAAAATGACAGGGCGTAATTCAAGTTGTTTTCGAATGATTAGCAAGAGAAAAATGTTCATGGCCACCAATAGAATATTTGAAAAATATGATGAATTCAATTTGATAAAACAATTAAAATCCTTACAGCAGTCAAATTCTATTAAAACAGTCACTTATAAAACTTAAAAAAACTGCAAGAATTTTAATTTTATAAAACTTACCTATGTCTTCGCTTCTTCTTTTTCTTTTTATTAAATCCATTTATACCATCGACCGTAAAGTCTTTACTGGCATCAAGTGGGCTCATTCCTGAAAATAATGAACCAGAGTAATTAGATAAATTTGAATAAAAATATTTTGAACTTGTTCATTCTGTATAAACAATTCATACAATTTTAGGCAATGTTTACAATATCTTTTTTTTTTCTAAGTATGATAACTTTTTCAAATTACATAATTACTTGACGACAAAAGCTAAAAATTTTATTTCTGCATCTACGACTAACCATCTATTCGGTCCTGTTATATTTTAAATCGTCTCCAACCTATTCATCCGTTATGTTTTATAATACCTCAATAGAAATGACGCTGATTGCAAATCCTCTCTTTTATATCGGTAATATAATATAAAAGATGTATTTTATCAGGATATTCCGCAATCGACCAGGATCGTAATCGACTATCCTGCAAAACGTCATTTAAATAGGATATAGTTATTGAGAGGAATCGGAAGCAAACAAGATGCAGGATGTAGTGTGATAAAGTTAACCTGGATCAGCAGAAAATCAAATTGGGTGTAAAACTACCTATAGCTGGCAATGATTTAGGAAATACATTTGTATCTATTTTTAACCCTTTATGGTCCAAATTTTTGTTTCACATTCAAAAAATTAGGGGAACGGAAAATCAGTACCTAATTATAAGCCTATATATGTTAAAGGAAAAAAAAACATTTCTGATTAAAAGATTTTTTTTATATTTATCTACGAACTGCTAAGATTTATATGCATATATTTATGCTACGTGTTAATGGTTTCAAAAAATTCATTATTTAGATCATCAATGTGCGATTTTATACGAACACGTGTTTACATATTTGTTCAAGCAAAAAAAATCGCTATGAAAAATTTTACCATAGATTTTTATATTACACTGGCTATATACCTGCATTTACATTTTAAACTTGGAATTATTTCTAATTTGGAACTATTTCTAAGCAAGTTTCGTATTATGTTACAACTGTTATGGATGAGATTTTGACGCCATTCTTATTTTGTGTTTCGTTTCCATTGGGTAATTTACTTATGGGGATCTAACTAGTTATGATTTTATCTTTTTGCTAGTGAGAGCCAAAAATTGTCATCTGTATGCTATTCTCAAAGAAGAATTGACCAAGACTTATGTGTACTATACTATTTAGTATAAGGTATGAAAAGAAACCAAACAACACCAATAAACAACTTGATTAACCATTGATTCACGAGTATTCTACCACTTTGTTCAAAACTACTAAGGAGTTTTGGAACCACCAGATCTTCTGTTTAATAACTTTGATATCTATATATTTTCAGCATGGCTCGTCAGCCTGCAAAATGATTAAGATGTTTCCAGCAGCTTGTCAAGTAATAGTGACATCTGTTTTAATTTGCAGGTAAAAATAAACTTTTCCCATTATTGCTGAATTAATAAAGAAGTCACTATTGCAATAATTGAAATAATAAAAAAAAATCCCAATATAGGGATGGAACAACTGTTTGGAATGCTATCTATAAAAAATAAAGGTAATTTGTAAGAAATTTATCACAACAGATCATAAGACCCTTAAGTTGTGTTCGCTGATCAAATAAATAATTTAAATGAAAGATTGGAGGTAGTATATGTTGCAAATGTGTAGATGCAGATGGTTTCTATGAATGATAATTTTGTGTGTTTATTAAATATCATTGCTATTATATGAGGATAAAATGTAATAGCGAACTCAAACCAATTTATAATATTTTTTAACTACTAACGATTGCAGTTTCGCATATTTAAAACTTCAAATTCCGGATACATTATCCCCCTAGACAATATTAGAATACCCCGTATTCATATAGACGCTTCTCTCGCCCGATTTTTACGTTCAGAAGGAATACTTAAAGGGTCCTCCGCTCGACGTGGTGGCGCTGCTTTTGGCACTCAAATTAATGGCGCAAATTTGAAATGAAAATTAATGAATTTTAATACACGGGTATTTGAAACTAAATTCGGTATTACAATCCTTTTATGTTTTGTAATGATACAATAATAACATAAATATACTAGATAATATTATATTATAATAAATATACAATCAAATCGAAATATAAATCAACAAATACACTGCAATACACCGGTTTATATATAATAGATATCACATCTAATCTACTGGAATAACTTCTACACTTTTTTCTACTTATTAATATAAATATTTAGTGAAATTTAGTGAATAATGCATTATAGTGTTAGTTCATTACATCGTCTGTCATTCTTAACTCTCATTAACTAGTAATCATCCCGTGCAAAATTTGATTTTTTCCCAAGTATATTCAGATCCGCGTGAAGTGGTAATCCAATATTAAACAGCTGGAACAGCTTTCTATTTGTGTATTATGTCTTTCTTGTAGAAGCGTATATTTGATTTCTTACACAATTTCCTAGAACTGATCTCTTTCCTTAAAGTGTATTATGATTAGACTAATATGTCAATGCACTACGTAGTATTGTAGTAATTATGTCCTCCATATGAGTTTGAAGCTGTTCTATTCATATTGTCAAAGGGCTATGCATTTGAGAGCAATTCCTGATGAAATCTTTATTAACAAATATACAAACACAAACAAAGAAGAATCGCCATTTTGTAAACTTATACAAAAATAACACTGACGTTTCTTAGTAACCAATATAAAACATTTGAAAATACTGTTTCATCGGCTCACTAGCGCCAAATCTGCGACTACAAATGGACCCCTAAGTATTCCTTCTGAACGAGGATTTTGTTCTAAGTGAAAAGGCCCTGCATTATCCCTATATTGTTTTGACCGGCTGATGCATCGCCATGTTTGTTTGGGTGGCTGTGTTTCCGTGTCGCCATAGAAACGCACCATGGGGGGCCACTATTAAACGCACACAATTGAAAGTATATTGGTATGCATATTTATATAATATTATACGTATACGGTCTTCTCTCTACAGGGGGGCCTCGTTTGACTAACGTCTGGCTGCGTCGAATACATGGGCACCGGTTCGACGCGTGTTTGCGAAATCGGGCGAAGGATTGTAGTTCGATAAAATATGCGAGGAAGTATGAATCAACGAATACAAACAATATATAGTGTGGTGTTATGAATGAAAAATGACCTAGAATATTCAAACTGCACGTTGAGTCTCCCATATTTGTAAATAAATATCAATTATTAAAACAGCATGCAGTATTATAGGCGGTCGTTATGGAGCGCAATGCATTTGGTAATTAGTGTGTACCTTGAGATAAGGGCTAATTCTTCAATAAAATAGAAATGTTATGTTACGTGTCTATATTCGTATTAGTTGGCAGTAACGAATTGTTAAAAAGCGTTTTAAATCTAGTCCCTCGAAAGCTCTATGCACACACATATATAGGGTAGAGAGGAGCTTAAAGTTCCGCGAGTCCACCACCAATATCGCAAAAATAATTTAATAAGTCCTAACTTTACTTTAATTCTTAAAGTAAAGTTAGGACTGTTCCTTAACAACAATATTTGAAAGTTGGTAAAAAAAGATACTAGTCATCACCTTAAATCAAACAACGTTGCTATCAGGAGATAAACGACCATGTTTGAAAATCTACAACAAAAGCGTATTTTTTTGTTGTTAGTATTTTTGGTTGCGAGCACTGTTGTTTAGTTTACGAAACCTAAATACAATTCTGAAGTATACATTATTTAATTGTTTTATAAGATATATTGTTAGTTTTGAGTTAGATTTAACAGACGTTCTTATATAACCATCAAATATTTTACATGTGGATGGGGTGAAAAGAACCAACTGATGCTTCATACTGGCAAAGGTGTACACAATAAAATAAAACAGTAAATCAAAAAGTAAATTAAGTTAAAAAACCAATTTTACAAGATATAAATCAAATAGTTTTTCCAACTCTGCTGATGATTATTTTTCACGAAATATCAGATCAAGGTTATATACAATGTTATTTTTGTAAAAAATATGCAAATAACATTTATATTTTGTATTGGTTGATTAATTAAGTAATTATTTCATTAAGTTTTTTTTAAATTAATAAGCCATCAGATCTATTTGTCCCCCCTCTTTGATTGGCCTCCCTATCGGGTAAAAAGAAACAGATAACAAATCTTAGAAAAATAGTAAAAAAACACTTCTATATTTAAGAATTATTTGGAAATTTTACTGAACATAGTATGATAGCTGGTTATTCGATTCGTTTTATATGTTAGGATGTAGTTCATTTGGTTTAGGCAGTATAAACACTGAATCTGACACAAAAAAAATCCATCCAAAATCGCAATACAATCCATGACCAGTGTATCAAGCATGATTTCAGTTTTTTTCTTATTTATTCGGCAACCGTTGAAAATATCAAAATGCAGTTTTCTTCACGTTATTCTAGTCCACAAGACAATTCACCTGATGTTTAATTGAAGTTTCTACGTGTCCGGGAAGTCTGTGAAAAATTAAAAAAACTGAAAATACTATCGGATCTTTGGACCTCTCTCAACCCTATATATTTTCATGTTATGTTAGATTTTTTTATGGAGAAATATTTACTAAAAACTTTTGAAACAATTTAATGAAAGACATCTTCCACTTACGTCAGTTAATTTATTTAAATTGCAGATAAAAAAACTTTATGCTATTAAAATATATTTGTGCATGTAATTATAACAAAAATGCCCTTTGCACTCGGATGCTCCGGCTGCAAAATAGGGATTAATTCTGGAAATCGCAAGTGAAAATGGTTAAATGGCTCTCAAAACGAGAATAGAAGCAAATAATTACTGGTAATTACAAATTGGAAAGCATATAAACTATTCCGTATACAAATTTGTTAAATAAAACATCGGCAACGTTATTGTTTAACTATAACTAAGAAACAATAGTGAAAAAAGAATTGGATGTTCATACTCTTACTCTTACTAATTGTTATTTGGAGATGATTTTTTAAAACATTAACAGAAGTTTAGTACACAATATTTAAACTAAAAACTAAAAAATTAATTTTCGCTCTATACTTACATTAAAAAAAGATAAGTTTTCATTTAAAAGTTTGGA